TACTTATCGTAACCTGATTGGCTCGTCAGGGAAGGGTACGGCCTAGGCTGGACTTCTTTATGAAATGCCGCTTAGGAGATGGTCTGAGCATAAGATTTGAGATTTAAGGTTTTTACCATACGTTTTCGGTTTTGCCCGCGTTACCTGCGTTACCAGCGTTACTTAGATTTTGACCCTACATTCGTGATATTGAGCAAGACTTACCATTCTGAATAGTTATCCTGCACGAGTTTTTCAATGGAACGAGATTGTGAAGTTTGGGTTAAGCTTGTGAAAAAAGGATGTGTATAAACAATTTGACATTTCAGCTGTTGATGATCTATTCTGAATCGGCGAATCTCAGCATGTTCTGGTTCTTACTATATTCTATTCTATGCGCGTACAATCTATTTCATCTATCCAAGCGCTGGTTAGTTTCGATTAGAAGGATATTTGAATGTCTCCAAGTACATGATTTCTTGAAGGTATTACAATATTGATGGACGCTATGATCTGAAACAGTTCATCAGGGAAAGCGAACCAACCATTCGAGTGCAGTATGGTGCAGGTACATACCTTCTTTTGACCGCAAAAAACAAGGGATCTCTTCTCAAAAGGCAGTATTGAAGGCCAGTTCTGAAAATCATCTTTTTCAGCGATACTCACCCCGACCATCCTGGGACTGATCATCTTCTGTACTATCGAATTGCAAAATGGACTGGTTCACTCAATATTCAAGTTGGCTACAATCGCCCAGCTGCTGCTTGCAATCGGCCAGCTTACGCTCGAATTCTATGAAGTCTATGTCAAAGGAAACTAACTAACTGTCAAAATAGCATGTGAAATGCAAGAAATAAACAAATTAATTAACGTGTGTTTATGCAAGATCATTGTGCAGTACTATGTCATGTAATAAATCAACGTACAAAGTTTTACATCATTCAGCTAGATTCTCTCTGCTTCATTTTCCTCGATCACTTCTTTGTCTCACAAAAGAAGAAAGGCATAGAGTCGACGAAGCGGCGGCTTTGCCAAAGTCTTAAAGGCAGGACCAGACCTTA